AGCAACCCTTCTTCCAGCAGAAAAAGGTTTTTCAAGAGCTTATGATTTTCTTGCACATTTTTAATTCTAGTACACTGTAATGAGTTGAAGTATTCGGACTCTTTAACTACACAGAACACGATCTATACACAGCGATGCGTGTGTGCGTGAGAACACAAAAGTAACGAAAAATAAGACTCATTTGCATGGGTACTTCGACTGAATATTCTTCCCTAGTAAACAACTCTCATCTCGCATCGTCTTCATCACCAACGATTGCATACCAAAGAAGTGCGATAAGTCTGACTAATCCTTAGTGTGATAGATGAATTTGATAGTTCAGTTCATAGCCCTCCTTCTGAAAACACTTGGCAGTAACGATAACGAGCCATCATGTTACGCAGCTTACGAGATAAGGGTTCCAGTGACTTCGAGCCCACAACCCAATAAAGAGTTCCTCGGCTCAGAATATACTTGGCATATGTTTTGAGCACTGATATTAAAAGCATCTTAATTTTTACAAGGTTTGTCTGCTTTTACTTTACACTTTAAAATAGGAAAAAAATAGGAAGTTTATATTGTGAGGATTTAACAATGAATATATTGTCTATGTCTCTATATCAGTGGGAATACAATGATGAAAAAGCAGTCTCCTACAAAGATGAACAAAACATGTCATGTCGTTACTTTTTCTTGAATTTTTCAATCATTTCTCGAACTTCAGCGATGTTGGCAGCATCGCCCCATTCCTGCTCCAGATGTGAGTATACTAGTTCCTTATTAGCGATTAGGTACACTCCTAAAAGTCGTTTCTTTCGAAGTAATGTAACAAGTGGGAGTGAAACCTCCAAGAAGTCGTCCCTCGCCATCTGTATTGCCATGGTATCCTGCTTTTCTTGCTTTGTAGATGTTTATGTAGGATCCTAAGCGGAGAAATCCAACCCAGAGTGGTAGCCAGCGTTCGTTTGGACCATAAAAGCGGCGCTGCAACTCTGACTATAGCATGGAACATGTAACGGATAACAGTTGAAGGGTCGTAATGGGGACCTAAGGGACTGAAAGAGTAGGAGAAGGAGCCTAAAGTGAGAGTGTCAAGCGAAATGAAGTGTAAACGTTACTAGCAGATAAAAGATACAAAAATTTTGAACTTACCATCCCTACGTTTCTTT